CTACGCCTCCGCTTTGCTCTTTCCATGGTTTAATCTTAATATTCATATGTTTTAACTCTTTTAAAAGTGCAATAAGATCGGATTCGAGTTTGTATTTTAGATACTACATCCGGACTTGCATTAGACGTGTTTGAGAAATTGCCCGAAAGAAACTACCAACTTTGTGGACTCTGTTAGGGAGCTCTTACACCCAGTTGACTTTGGCTGACCAAAATAAGCTTTGAGTATGAGTAAATACCACAATGGACGACAACAGATTAAAGCTTTCTATAACCTGAATTGCCACCCAAAACCTACTGCTTTTGGGCCTAGGAATTTTATGAATCAGGTACGGTAATGTTGCTTTCAGGAGAAATCTGCAGAGGAAAATCAAGTGCTTAATACCAACATCTTAGGTAAACTAATGGAAATATAAGCTAAAGCATTAAATGGATATACATACTAATGTAACTTTAGCAATAATTGAGAAAATTAGTGATAAAAAGCTGCGGTGCAAGAAAAACTAAAGTGGCTTTACTTCATGAATAAATAATACAAGGTGACTAGTATTCAGTGAGCATCTCATAATGTGATAGCACACATGTTTTGTAGTAAATGTTACCTTAAATCTTAGCAGTAGAACACAATCGCACACCTTCACGTGCAAAAAAGCATTTAAACATAAAGAAAAATAATTGAAGGAATGAACTTTAAGCCTGGTCAGACACTCTAAATCTACCAAGCTTCCTCTTTTCACACTCTTTACAGTGCACAAAAAGATGGAATAGATTCTTATTATGCAGGGGACAGTTGATCAGCAGAATGTAGGTTACTTTTAGTAGAAGAAACTCATATTGTATAGAGCCTTAACTCAATATGTTCGTACATAAATAGAAGAAAATCAGTTAGTGAAAGTATATTGCAATGAGTAAATTATATCGATTACTTAAAGAACAGTTTGTGTATGAAAATTTTGTTTTTGGATGAATAGTAGTCTTTTACCATTTTTCTTCGCCTGGAGATATGCTTAGATCAAATAAATGAAGCTAATGTTGGATTGCTTGAGTGTGTTGTTTGTTTTTTCCCCGTCTTTTTTTGGTAAACTGAATATTTGGTGATAGCTTGAGCATGTTATTTTTACGTGCACTGAAGTAGTATAATTGTTGATATACATTACTAATCATAAATGTTACAAAATTACAAAGGCACAATATTTTGAAGCAATTACATTGGAATTTTGAAATGGCAGATAATGATTGAGTTCATATTAACTTAGACATTAAACAATTGATATTGTGCATGAGGATTGAACATAAAATATAATTTTGTATTTTCGTCAAGTCTTTTGAACATACAAAACAGTTTATGTCTCTTTTAAATATTTCGCGAAGAACTTGGATGCAAATATCTACAGGTGAAAAATGAATCTGAACTTGCATAACTCATGGATTTCAAAGAAATTAACAATTCGAGGGTAGTCGCATTCATCACGAAAGGAGGTTCTCAATAAGCAGATTTGTTCTACCAAAAGTCACACTAAGGTATTAAAATTAAATGACAAAGTAAATACCTATTTATGTGCTTATCGCTGCCTTCAAAGATATCAATAAAAATCAAAACATTTTTCATCCCTTAAGAAGGTTAAAATACAAGGGGTAGCTATGGGTCATGCAGTGGATTTAACTGTACTGACTAGATATAACTATCTCATAAAGTAACTTAAGGAGATTTTTGAAATTCAGGAAGAGTTTCGCACCCGAAATAAGTAGGAGATCATTTTTGCGGATGATGAAGAGCTAATGATGCCTACGTCTGATCATCCTTGGATGTAATTGTCCATTTCTCCATTTAACTTAAAATTAAAAAATATATATGTCAGTTCTCTACTGTGCATATCACACTGTGGTGCTCAATTAGTTTATTGCAATAATGTGGTGAAGAAGATTTATATATGAAAGTGATATATATTTTGATATATCATGAAATACTAACTACAACGGTTGACAAAAACAATGAGAGTATATATGATGCACAAAACAAGGTATAGTCTTGAAACTCTCATATGTAACTTACTAATATCTTTTCTTTTTCGGGATAATGTGCTCCCTGATAGTCATACCTCCCCAGTTTCCTGGCTGACTTCTGTAGTCATGATAAACTGGTTGTTGTGACTCTTTTGTTGAGAATAGCATTGGGTAGAGATCTACCTACAGACCGGGTCTTCTACACATGTATCATTGATGGACTTCTCACGACTAGAATGCGTCAAGTTGCCAGTTACTTCTATGATGAGATGACAAAGAAAGGGCTTAACTTAGAAGTTATCGCGCTGAATATGGTGACCCATGGTTACTAAAATCATGAAAAAATTGAATGTCTGTTGGCTTTAAGATTATTTATCAAGTAATAATTAGAAGTACTGCTTATTTAAAAACATTATACTATTTCTCAGAGAACCAAAAATCAAGATAATGCTATCTGTGTATCTTTAGTGTTTGTTAAATGAATACAGGTGAGCCAGATGCACTTCTCAAAGTTCCCAGTAAACTGGATATCACTATTTTGCATAACTGGACATGCATGACAATATCCAACTTCAAAATTTGATGGAAGTGGACTTTCATCAAACTATTATTTCCTCTGGTCCATGTGAAGCTGTGCATGTATGATGTGCTTACTGTGTTAAATTGACTCTTTAGTGATTGGAAACTTCTGTTATGATTTTTGTCTTAGATGCTTTCTGCACCATGTGCATTGATACATTACCTCTGTGAATGTAAAGAGTGGTGGCCTATTTAATCTCAGAATATTGCTTTAAAATGAATATACAACCCAAATATAGAAGAACTGCTAATCATATTAGCTCATGCTCTACATCAACAAAGAAAAAGAGCTACAAGAAGCATGAAGCATAGACCCCTACTCACTTGCTACTGTTCAATCAAGATTTAAGGCAAACAGAACATGTATCTGCTTTTACCTTGTCCAATAAAATTAGTTGAAAACTCTATGCCTTAATGTGTAAATGTTAAATGCGGAGAGTTAAAAAAATATGTACTGAAGATGTAGTTAAAAACTCTATGTCTAACCATTTAAATGTTAAATGCAGAGAGTTAAAAGAGACTTGGGTGAATTTGTAGTCAAATAGCAATTTCAATGCTCAACTTGGGTCTCCAACTCCTTACTTGGGACTGCATTATTCGTTATGATTCTTGAGAACGTAAGGGTTATCAAGGTTGGCGATTCTTCTTGAAAAACTATTATTATTAAATTTTGTGGTCACTTAAATGTTAACTGCTACCTTCAAAGGTTTTTCTTTGATTTTCCAGATTTTTTCCTTTTGTTTATATTTAAGATCTAAATTATTTTGATGTATAATGCTAATCCAATGTAGTAAAAGATGTCAAATTTTCTTATAGTTTTAGAGAAAGATCTTGCATTCCATGTTTGTGACATTTTGTGTTTGCTTGCAGATATTTGGGAAGACCATTTTGATTACAAATACCCTTTGCTGGAGTATGTTTTTCTCACTTTTCACGATCATTCATCCTTGCAGAACAATAGCATTGTCATTTTCATGATTCTGTACATATATATGTTAGTACTATAAATGATGCTCAATGTAACTACTCTTGTGGATTTCTACATATCTACAAGATCAATTAGTATTCTACGTTTTGGTTTTACTGTGACATATATATTTGATTCCAAGTAAAACTAGCTTGTGTTTCCTGTTAGTCGTGCGAAGAGTTCTTCTACACCTGGCCTGATTTACCATTCCTTTTGACTGTCAAGTATACATATAAGCATTTAGAGCTTCGTCTTAAGCAGTTACTACAACATTTGATTTTGTAAAAATAGCACGGTATAGCCAGTTTTCGGACTAGTCATTCAAAAATAGCCAGCGTTTACGAAGTCAATGAAAAATAGCCACTATTTTGCTGCAACAGAGACCGGTCCAGCATAATATACTGGAGTTCGGTGCACCTGTGTATGAACTCCAGCATATTATGCTGGACCGATATACTTTGCTGACTCCAGTATAATATACTGGAGACTGAAGCACTGGTGCTCCAAACTCCAGTATATTATACTGGACAATTATACTTGCTGGAACTCCAGTATATTATGCTAGAGTTCTAATGTACTTGTGCTGGAGTTCCAGCATACTTATCCTGAAACTGCAGTATAATATGCTGGAGTTCAAGCATACTTAAGCTGGAACTCCAATATAATATACTGGCGTATTTTTCGGATTTTGAACAATGTTTTCGCTCAGATTTATCTTTACATGAAAAGTGACTAATACTTTTGAAATTGGGCTATTTTTGAATGACCAGTTATAAATCTGGCTATTTTTCAATTTCTCCCTTTGATTTTGGATATGGTAATTGGGCCCGGGCTGACTCACCTAATGGTTTAAATAAGGATAAACAAGTGAAAAACCAAGGAACCAGTAAAATAACTAGCATGCCTTCTCTTGAGATTTCTACTCAAGCATGCAGTTTATTCAACATTCGCCAAAGGACTGATTTCCCCATTTCTCTTGACGCCATCATGTTTATATTCGATGTAATGCAAGTCTGGCAATAGGATAGGTAAAATAGATTCCAGCAAACGTGAAATTTTTACCGGATAACGAAAATAAGTTATATTAAAATGTGATTTTTAGTCATTAACCAACTATAATGCAAACGTGAAAATATGTTATAATGCAACATACCCATTTAGAATAACCAAATTATAAGATGAAAGTATGTTATTTCATCAGTCAGCTTTATACCATATGTGAAAAGAGCACATTCGATAAAATCCAAACATGGGTGTGTTGCATGTCAACAAAAAAACCCCAAGAGCACATTCAACAGCTTTCTAGCAATGATAAGGCATATATTAACAGAATAATGCCATCTGGGAATTACAAGCACGCTTTCTATATCTATTTTGTCCACTAGAGAGGATTATCAAAATTAAGATAAATTTTCTGGTTTTGGATTAAACCTATTAAGCGAGAAATAATATACTCAAAATAGGCACATGAGGTTGCCTGTTAAATGGCACGCTTAAACTGATGAAGAAAATTTATTCTGGCCTGTCAAAGCAGGTCAATGAAAATCAAAAACTAGTCAAACATGGAGCAATGAATAGACAAAGAGATACTTGGTTTATAAACTTATTCTTTTAGACATAAGAGTATGCCCATGTTTAATTGAAGAGCCAACTCACACGAGATCCTCGAAAAATTATTCTTCTGCGACTAAACTTATTTCACCTTTCTCCAGCAAGTCATAAAATGACCTAACTTTTCTTTGCTCATTCCAGTGGTGCATCTTCCATAAGCTTCCAGCAGCCAAGCCAAGTACAGTTGCAATAACTATTTCCTTCACCACACTAGGGCCTTTCAAAGTGGCATGCGCAATCCTATGGCCAGCCATTTGATGCTGAACTTAGTGTAAACTTCTGCAAAATCACCGCAGGGTACAGTTCAACTCACCCATATTAATTTACACATATAAAACCAACAGTCGACTAAATGGTGTTAAATGAAGCATGAAAAGTAGTTAGAAGCAAGTTATACACAACCATACAACAAACTAATGAAGCAACTACACTGAAACAAATAACTAACGAACTTGAAGAACGAGCTCAAAGAATTACCCAAAACATTGAGTTGATGGCAATTAAACTTTGAGGTAATACCGTAATAATAATGAAAGATGAACCACCAGGACCTCAGCTTAGCAATGGAGGCTAAAACTAAGTCCCACCAAAAGCTAGCCATTGTTCCACCAGTACAGAGCAGTATAAGTACCAACAGCTAACCACACTAGTTATAGTGTAAATAGTACTACCATATTTCGAGAAAGAGTTGATTAAATTATGTTAGTACGAACTACGGAGTACCAACTCATACAATTTAATGTTAGTCCATCAACACTGCAGCTCCCTACAAGTTTGTCCATCCACAACGGACCCTCTCTCTTTTCCCTTCCTTGGACATGGATTTATTCATTGGGGCTTCGAATTGCACTGACATGAAATTTGAATTGACTGTAGCTTGCAGTTCCATCATGATATCATTCTTCCTCTTCCTATCTCCGTCCACTATCCCTGAATTCCATATTTCCCTCTGCTATTTTTAATTGCTCTCTAACCAAAATATTCTCTTATTTATTTTTCTCTTTTGAATCTATCATTTGCACTTGGCCGCCCCATAAAGCAATAAATCCTTTCTCACTTCGGCCAATACCTGCTTTACTTCTATCCCTATCCTTAATAGTTACTAGCTCTAACAAGTCTGCGCGCTTTTATACCCTTTTTCTTTGTGTGTGTTTCAGTGTTTGCCTGGCTTAAATAATTCTTACCAAGTAGAAAGCACGCATATAAAGAGAGAGGTTAGCTAAACATAAGAAGTCAAAAACCTCACCAAATGCAACTTCCTCTACTTCCCAGCAACTGCTTTCTAAATAGTTGGCTAAGTTTTAATAATCTTTTCACCCTAAGGTAGCTAAACATCAAGCGTACAGTTTATATCCTAGCATAGCTCCTATTTCATCCAATTTATTCAACTCAAAATTCAGCAAAATTATTCAAAAATCCAGATCGGAAAGTAAGTCTTTCAAGTCAAACACAAAATATATAAAAATAAAAAGCATAGTTCTCACTGGATCTGAGTTCGGGAAGATAAATAAAATCAACTACAGCAGATTCTATCAGATCCATGAGTAATGAAACAAAAATAAGAGGAAACAAAATATCAACTCAAAATAGAGACGTTGATCCTAACAACTTTGCTGAATAAAATTGCAGATCAGAAAACTAGTACAGAATAAGTCTAAAGAAATTTGAGAAACGTCGAAGATTGAAAATTCGATTGACTTTGAAAGTAAAAGCTAGGGTTTGTACCTGAGAGGAAAGAACTCGGATGAGGACAATGTGGTAGAGAAGAGAAATGGAGGACCCTGGCCTTTTCCAATAAGCTATTAGTACAAGTTGCTACTTTATTTGTTTGTTTTTCAGGCCTGACCAATAGCACCATGTTCACGGGGACCAATTTACGAGCATCTAGGATTTATCTGGTTCCCTGTCCTAAATGGGCCAATCCGATATTATCGTGGCCCAAGTACTAATATTTTAAGGGGATTTTTTCCGAACTTATTTATTCGTGTTTAACTTGGTTTTATAGTTTTCAAAAATTACTTTGATTTTTATTATAAAATATATATGATATGATCTTTTGCAGCGTCTTCCTCTTCTCCCCCTTCGACTTAGGACTGCAAATCCTGCCAAATCTACTCGAAATCTCCACCAAATTACCCAAAAATTTAGGAACAAGGCATAACAATTACTTGCCACAACACCCAAACAAAATTTAATTTTTGAACTCGAAGCTTTAAAGCTTTATTTAATACTATTAGATAACTCTTCTTCAAGTTTTCACACTCCAAATCAATGGATAAGCACAAAAATGACTTGGGAACAGTAGTAAATAGACATGAATTAGTTGCTTTTTAGGTTTTTTTTTATTAAATAAATCTGCAACTGTTCGAACTCAAGTCAGAAATTGAAGTTCGAAATTTCTTGATCCGACTAAGTTTAGCTTAGTTTAGGGTCACGTTTGCGGTCATAGTTCCCTTACCCAAGTACTTTCGGTCTTAAAATCTCAATTCGAAATTTTTTGTAGCAGTTATATAAAATATATGATCCCAGCAGTATAGAACTTCAAGCTTCTCATTTCAAACCCACGAATCAGAAGCTAAAACATATAACTTTCAAACAATTTAGATAGAAAATTGTTATTGCATACAGCCTGCATACAATTACATGTGTATGTCATTGTATGTCAAGTGATAAATTGAACATACAAATAGCATACACCCCACATACACAATATATACAACTTATATGCATATCATTGTTCTTCTTCCTCTATGAGATTCAATCTGAAAATCCAACCAAAACCAACTCGAATCTTCACTGACCCCCCTAAAAAATGAGATATGAACTCCAAACGATATTCATTATCATTTTCAACAGCACCCAATCCAAATAAATAATAATTTTACAAAACTCATTTTTCGAATTCAAAAGGTTCAATTTTTTTTTAATGGTTGTCACTATTTTAGAATTTGGAACTTGTCTAGAAATTATATTGAATTTAGCGAGAGAAAGAGGTGATTTTTAAAAAGTCAAAGGAATTATTTTTGAAATTGAGTTGAAAAGGGGAAGAAAAGTTGAGGGCTGAGAAGTAATTGGATGATAGACGCGAGGGAAGAGGTCCTACGTTATTATGAATTTGTATACAAATTATAAACGTTGTTATGATATGTTATTAAGAAGGAACTCTATAAAAGTAATAATTAAGTCTATAATTAAGTATAACTATGTAAAATTTCCATCTTTAATGAATCGTTTGGTTGATCAACAAGTTATATCAGCATTATAGTGACGGAATTATAATATAAAAAATATTTAGTGAGTCTACTTTTAATGATTCATATTTGATTCAGTATACTAAAAATATGACATACATATATACGATTAATTCTTCAAGATGGTGTATCTAAGGTTGGATTCTTCCCTAGCTAAAAGTCAGGGAAATTCTTCAGTTCCGGAAGCATACTTCAAATTCTGGCAGCATACTTCAAATTTTTAATAATGTGCTTCAAAATTGTAGCAGCATACTTTAAATTTCTGGTATCTTCTCAAAACTTTTCTTAAAAGGTTGAAACATAAATATTTGGCACTAAATGATCCTATTTGTGCAAATCCCATTAAAAGCAAATGCATGTGGAGGACGACCTACACATACTTATCACTTATCTTTTTGTTTTTCGTTATTTTATCTCAAATGACAACATTCACGAAGAATTGAGCCTTCGTGGCTTTTACAATGTTGTAATTATGAAGTTATCTTTTTTAGATCTCTTATGTATAAAAGATAGATCTCTTATGTGTAAAAGTATTTTTTTCATGTGTAAAAAAAGAGATGGAATCATAAAACTAAAAACAAATTTGTAATGAGCCGCAAAACTATTTTATCCCAATATTCACATACTAATAACTTAACAGGACGGGTTTTATACATCTTAATTTATTCTAATTATTTGAGCAAATCCATTAAAAGTAGATGCATGTGGAGGACGACCTACACCTGCTTATCTTTTTGTTTTTCGTTATTTTTATCTCAAATGACAATATTCACATACTAATAACCTAACAGGACATGAATTATGCATCTACATTAAACTAAACTTTTTCCCACGTGTAGCTATACTCTCTTCTGTCCATTGTCCTTTTAGTTTTATTTTTTTTCTTCTATTGCCTATGGGTACACGATTCTTTAAAAAAAGTTAATGAATAAAGAGAAACTCTTCGAGCTTTCTAGCGGATTGTGAATCCACCACGTGCGAGTTAAATCCTTGTCGTTCGCTCATCAATAAAAATGGACCGGTTGTTTTGGAGACACAAGACAAACTAGAAATAATTTATTTTGCAAGTCATTTCAAGGCTTTCGCGTCCAAGCATTAGTATCTGATTGAAAGATAGAAACCATATGTTTGCGTCGTCTACTTGCTAAAAGTAAAAATAGAATGACTGATCATGAATCTTATGACGTTTTTAAGACCTCACTTATCAGCCAACCACTTTTTAATATATAATGAATGAACCACCTTTGGAGGTTTGGCTAGGCAAATTTTTCGTCGTCATCTGAATAACTACTATTATCTGCAAATAGCACTACTAAAAAACTGGATAATTTCGTCCAGGAAAACCGGTCGATATCAGTCGGAATTTGAGAAAAAGCGACCGATTCTCAACCGCTTTTAATTAGTTGAAAAAATAATGGTCGCTAAGTGTTGCGGCCGAAATCGGTCGCAATTTTCCAACCGAAAACGGTCGCAATTTTCAACGCATTGACTGACAACCAAACTAAATATATTGACTGAAATCGGCAGGTATTAATTAATTTTTTTTTCAAATAAGATCGCCATCGGTCGGAATTTTAAATATATAATAATTTTATGGCGAAATAAATAAACGGTCCCTCTAAGTTGTCCACAACGACCAGACAAAACACCTCAACTAAACCCTTTACCATTTAGACACTTCAAGTGTCCATTAACCAGATCAAATAAACACATATTGCTGATGTGGTATGCACATGTTTGCTAATAAAATTTTAAGCGCGTGAAATATTTTTTCAGCCTAATTTTTTTTTGTTGAAAAACTAAGAATTGGGCGTATCTTAGCCTCTCTTGGCTTGACTAACCCACGTCAACGTCATCGTGAAACCACCATTAAAACCAGCCACTAAAACTCCAACCAAGCTACCGAAAATCACTAAAAACTTTTCGATTTTAACTGCGACAGCTTAATTATTGACTGAATGAAGTTTTGTGATGATGTGCAAACTAGAGAAAGGTTAATGTTCTTATTGTTTGCCCCCTTCTTGGAAGTGCACTTTCCTATGTCGTCTTCCTTTTCTCCCATGTCATTTTGTTCAATTCATCTCTCCATAAATAAACAAAGAATCTAGTAATAATCAACAACAAATAGTAGCAGTAAGAAAGAATCAACAGTGGCCACGACTATCGCTGCCCATAAAAGTCATCGGCTCCGGCAATATATAACAAAAGAATTTCACAGATCAGAGAATTAAAGCATCAAAGTAGCAGCAAAAATAGCTACAACAGCAGATCCGACAACGACAACTCTGTTCAAGAAAGCAGAGTTGGGAGATGAGGTAGGAGAACCGCTGGGAGAGGCACTAATGGATGGAGGAGGAGCACCACCGGAAGGAGATAAAGCCGCAGTATCGACGGTTGTGTCGCGCCCCCTTTTTCCTCGCGGAATCGGGTTTATGATATTTGAGAGGACAACTCATTCCCTTTTGGGAATTTAGGTTTGCATTTGAAGAGTCGCCACCTAATGATTAAGGTGCATTAGGACACCAAGAAGGTTTGATTTGAGTAACCAGAGATTGGGTAAGGGCTTGAAATTATTCCAAGGAGAAGGTGTTAGGCACCCCGCAGAATCCACTAGTGTGGTTCCCGGCCAGATTGTTATTGTGAATTTAGGTGCAAATAACATGTAGGCGAATAAATAAAGGGTTTTGAAAACATAGCTTTGAAATAAATATCAAGAAAACGTTTAAGAACTTAGGAAAAACACGGATCTGGAACAGATCTAAAAAGATCAGAAAAACCTCAAAAGCTAGGGTTTCAAAGGAACCCAAACAGTGAGAAAGGCCTGGATCAAAGAAGGAGGAATCGAAGCCAGGCTCAAAACAGACATAGCTTGCCGGAGCAAGGCCGGAGATGGCCATAAAACTTGAATCAACGAGGCCTGGACGAAGCTTCTCCGTGGTCAGGCCATGAAACCTCAATAAACGAGTGTGTATGCACCATGGAAGGTTGGTAGGTGGTGAGACCACCATAGATTCAGGCCAGGAAATAGCCAGAGAAGATGAATGAGACTCATCGGAGAGGAGGGGAAGGGGAAGGTTCTAGAGAGAACCAGAGATAGAGAGATAGAGAGATAGAGAGAGAGTCGATTAAATGAGGGAAAATGAGAGGGGTTTGGGGGGGTCGTTTGGTTTAATTTAGGAAGGGTAAATGGTGGCCGTTGATCATTTTGATCAACGACCCGGATTAAATGGGGATCCGGGCGGGTTATTCAAACGGGTTGTGGGTCGGGTAGATTTAGGATTTGGGCTGGGTAATTGGGTTTGAGATTGGGTTTAATTAGGGGTTCAAATCTGGCCAAAATTGAAATGAAATGGGCTAACATTTAAATAGCCACTTTTTCCCTTGTTTAATTTATAAAAATAGTAAAATAATTTCCAGAAATAAATTAAAAGCACTAAAATGATTAATAATATGTAATTATCCAATTAAAATACTGAAGTTAATTTTATAAATATAAACACCATTAAATCTTAAAAAAGGCTAATGTCGCAATTACGTGCAATTTAGCTTTAAAAATATTAAATAAATTTATAAAAAATATAAAAATTATGTTAGCTATATTTAATGCAAG